CTGTGGTATTTCGTTATGGAAACCCTAGCAAGTGAATCCACTCAGCTACCCTATGCTCTCCCGTCATGAAAATGCTTCCTCTTTCCACCTGAATTCCTTGACTACTTTGCCAAGTCCCTGCTTCCCTAATTGTGCCCAAGGGTCATGACTGCCCATGTGTAAGTGGTTCTTCTCCTGTGGGAATGTAAAAAACTATCTTAACATGGATTTCCACACCCTCAGTCCAAGAGTTTTCAAAGAATGTTTCATGAGAGAATCATTAGTGATGCCGAGAAAGGAGTGTCCCAGGTCATAGCCATCTGGGAGATGTGGTGTTAATCCAGGCTGATTAAGTTCTGCAGGACGTCAGAGCACTGCTGATCATCAAGAGGGGAGAGAGCATAATGCATTCCCCAAATTTATTTGAACACGGAATCTCCTTTTCACTGTGCATTTCTCCAGACTCACAGTGCTCAGTGCACTAGATCAAATATACCAGCCCTAATGATGAGAACCCTTTGAGGTGGTGACACATGGCTGAGAAAGATTTTGAGTTTGTGAAGCAGTCAGCCTCCTCAAGGTACACCAGTAGGAAATGACCTAGAATTGGGAAACCAGAGCTTGAAGGGACCTTGGATTATTTTGTCCACCTTGAAGATGAGGGACTTGAGGCCCCAAGAGATTTGAGGGCTCCCCAGGCTGCAGCAGTGGGGGCCACTAATGCCCTAGAACTCATCTCTGTTGGCAGTCTTCAGGAAAGCAGGTGCTGTGTAACATAGGAGGCTCCAAGCACTGGTGCTGGTCTTAAACATATCCTTCTAGTGATCTTCTACTGCCATCCTTACCAACGAGTGTGAAAGGTCTCCAGGTGCCTTCAGCCTGGGAACTTCCTTGCCACTATGCTGGGTCTCTCCTAATACCAGGCTTAGCTCAATCTTACTGACCCAAAGCCCCCCAAAAGTCCAGTAATCAAATTTCTAAGTCTAGTTTTGGGGTCCAGACTGGCTGATCAATTTACTATAGTGTAACAGCAAAAGCCCATCCTTTGGAACTGGGTTCATATTCCAGCTTTCACTTAGTAACTGTGTGAACTATGTATAGCCCCTTTGTCAAAGGTGGGATATGACACAAAAAGTGATGGTGGTTGATTCAAAGGAATGGATGGATGAATGGGATTTAGCATGGTGCCCACACATATTAGGCCTCATTAAATATTAGTTCCCATGCTTCCTCTTAAAACTAGGGATATATTGATAAATGATATATATGGAACAGGATAGAAAGCCCAGAAATAAACTCATGCACTTATGGTCAATTCATCTGTGACCAAGGAGGCAAGAAATATACAATGGAGAAAAGACAGTCTCTTCAGTAAGTGGTGCTGGGAAAGCCGGACAGCTACAGGTAAAACGATGAAGTCAGAATATTCTCTAACACCATATACAGACATAAACTCAAAATGGATTAAAGACCTAAATGTAAGACTGATAAACTGCTAGAGGAAAACACAGGCAGAACACTCTTTGACATAAATTGCAGCAATATTTTTTTGGCTCCATCTCCTGAAGCAAAGGAAACAAAACCAAAAGTAGACAAATGGGACCTAATTAAACTTAAAAGCTTTTGCACAGCAAAGGAAATCATCGACAAAACAAAAAGACAACGTACTGAATGGGAGAAGTTATTTGCAAATGATACGACTGATAAGGGGTTAATATCCAACATACATAAACAGCTCATACAACTCAACATCAAAAAAACGAACAACCATGGGCTTCCCTGGTGGCGCAGTGGTTGAGAGTCAGCCTGCTGATGCAGGGGACACGGGTTCGTGCCCCGGTCCGGGAAGATCCCACATGCCGCGGAGCGGCTGGGCCCGTGAGCCATGGCCACTGAGCCTGCGCGTCTGGAGCCTGTGCTCCGCAACGGGAGAGGCCACAACAGTGAGAGGCCCGCATACCACAAATAAAAAACAAAAAACAAGAAACAAACACACAAAACAAACAACCCAATTAAAAAATGGGCAGAACTGAATAGACATTTTTCCAAAGAGGACATGCAGATGGCCAACAGGCACATGAAGAGATGCTCAATATCACTAATCATCATGGAAATGTAAATCAAAGCCACAATGAGCTATCACCTCACACCTGTCAGAATGGTTATCATCAAAAAGAACACAAATAACATGTTGGCAAGGATGTGGAAAGAAGGGAACCCTCCTATGCTGTTGGTGGAAATGTAAATTGGTGCAGCCAATAAGGAAAACAGTATGGAGTTTACTTAAAAAACTAAAAATAGAGTTACCATATGATCCAGCAATCCCACTTCTGGGCATATATCCAGAAAAGACAAAAACTCTAATTCGAAAAGACACATGCACCCCAATGCTCACAGCAGCACTATTTATAATCGCCAAGACATGGAAGCAACCTAAATGTCCATCAACAGATGAATGGATAAAGAAGATATTATATATGTGTGTGTATATGTATTGGGTTGGCCAAAAAGTTCATTTGGGTTTTCCATATGATCTGATGGAAAAACCCGAATGAACTTTTTGGCCAACCTTACGCCCACCAACCCCCACCCCCACACACAAAATGGAATATTACTCAACCGTAAAAAGAACGAAATAGTGCAATTTGCAGCAACATGATGAACCAAGATATTTTCATACTAAGTGAAGTCAGACAGAGAAAGACAAATATCACATGATTTCACTTATATGTGAAATCTAAAAAAAAAAGATACAAATGAACTTATTTACAAAACAGAAACAGACTCATGGACATATAAAACAAATTTATGATTACCAATTGTGGGGAGGGAGGAAGGGATAAATTAGGAGTTCGGGATTAACAGATACACACTACCATATATAAAACAGAAAAATAACAAACACCTGTATAGCACAGGGAACTATATTCAATACCTTGTAACACTCTATAATGGAAAAGAATCTGAAAAAGGATATATACGTATAACTGAATCACTTTGCTGTACACCTAAAACTAACACACTGTAAGTCAACTATACTTCAATTAAAAAAATAAAAAACAAACAACAACAAAAAACCCAAAACACAAAACTAGGGATATAGTTTGTAGAGTTACACTGTCAGACTATGAATCCCCTAGGCTCAGGAACCATCTCCGATATCTTGCCCAGTGCAAGTCAATTTGTAAAGATTTAATTCCCCCAGTGAGAAAGGAAAACAAGCCATTAGTTTAGGGCACAACGTCTTTATCTTCTTTATCTTTATCTTCCTCCATTCTCTTTCAGGTTGTATCCTTAGTCATCAGTTTTCATGTGGCCTTCCACAGATCAGTGACGACTAGAATATGACTCAGAATCAAGACAAGAGGCTCATTTCACTAGTTTGGAAGCAGTTTTAATGGAGATGGAAATGTTTATCAACTCAACACAGGTACCCCAAAATACAAAGCAAAATATCATCTTCAGCTGCATAGCAAATATGATTTAAGAATTTAACATCATTATTTGATCACAAGCGTAAATATAAGTCACCATAAATAAATGTAAATTCATTGTACAAAAATCCCCAACAACTCTTAATACAAATATGGTACATTTGACAGTTTCTGAAACAGAATTTTTTTTAACCTTTTAAAACCTAAGTTTTTATTTTTCCTGGTTCTTAGATACACAAAAAATCAAAAGTGGGGGTGGGCAGTAACACCAGGAAGGAAAGAATATTAAACCCTTTCGGTGTTCGTAAATCAATGCTGCTGGTGAGCCAGGGAAATGAAACGTCTCTCCTAAAGGTGAAGACCTCAATTTACTGGGGTCAAATCTCTTGAGGATAATAGGATTCTACCCAGAGGGTCAAATTCAGGGCTATGAATGCAGGGTGGGAGGGGTGGACTGTTGAAATAGCAATCTCATCCAACAGGTGATCCGAATCTCCGCAAAGCAATGGTCAAGGATTTAGAATGATCTCCAGGACTTAATAGCCAGACTTAATCTAAGAGAGTGAGCCAGCTACTGTTCCCAGACAGGAATGAAGACTCGGAAGGCTCTGGAGCTTAGAAATTTTATGTGGGTTTTGAAGGTGAGTTTTACCTGGTGGTTCTCCCATGTCGTGTAATGCCTCACTTTTGCCTTTGGGATACATCTATGGTCATCAAGAAGAAAAAAATGAGAAATCAGAATAGGAAGTGGCAGCTCCAGACAGGAGGATCTGACAGCTTCCACCCTGACTCACTTTCCTTCCCAACAAATATTTTCTTTCATGGCTCAGAGGGAGCTCAAAGCCCAAGGGTAGCAGTGCAGGGGGCCTCTACAGCAGTGGTCCTCAGACTTTCATGTGCAACAGAACAATCCAGCTTGTGGCAAGTGCAGATTTCTTGACCCTGCTCCCAGAGCTGTAGAATCAATGGGTGTGAGATGGGGCCCAGGAATCTGCATTAAACGTGCTAATCTCAGGAGGTCCTGATGTATGTGGCCTTTGGACCATACTTTGTCGAGCCCCACCTCTCTCCTCCCTGGTGAGCATGAGTGGGTAACACAAACCTCTTGCTATGGACACTTCTTTGCTCTTGCCATGGGGTTGAAGTGGGTCATCTGGTTAATGGAAACCATTTCCATTCATCTGCCCTGAGGGAGGAGGTCATTACTGTTCTATTTTCTCTCTTTTTTTTCCTTCCTGGGCCGGGGGAGAAATATCCAATGTCTCACTTTATATGTTCTTACAAGCTCAGGGTCACAGATTCCCTTCGATGATGAGGTGCTCTGCAATGGGAAATTCACTTCCCAAAGGCTTCCGTCCTTCTCAACAGTCTCCCCATGCTTGGTAGGAGATTCTGCAGGGAATTTTGCTTCAGTCAGGGAAACGGAAGTAGACACGTCCCTGTGAGATATACCCCATACCTCAAAATCTAAGTTAAGGAACATCAAGGAAGTTGACAGCCAAAGATAAAATGTCGCCGGAATCTTTCAGCTTCTAGGACAACAAAAGTCCTGACTCACTAGAACAGGATTCCTCTTTGGGGTATATTTTGGTATTAAAAGCTCGTTGACAAGTATTATTTACATTCCTTACCTCCTTGACCCCGAGATGTTTCTGGCTTCTATTAAAATAACCCTTTAATATTTTCTTTCTTGTGACAGTTTTCCTTGACGAGAGATTCTGTGCCAAGAAGTGGCCCCTAATTTGGTCGCTGGCTAATGCTGTGGGCAGTGCATGCCTGGCCTGTTCAAAGCTGTAGCCCCAGTGTCCATTACCCTGTGCAACTTGGTGCTCACTAAGCATTTGCTCAATGAATAAAGGACCCTCTCAGCACCAAGCTGATGAGATGGTCTAATGGCTTTCTGTTTTGGACTATGGGATCCCTGGCTGTGTTCTTAAATACTGACCATCTTCTTACCCCAATTCTACTCACCCATTCCAGTTGTGAATGCCTTTCTGAATTCTCTCTAGGAGTGCCCTGAGAGGGGAGTCAGGATGTGGTTTTGGAAGTCCGTGGAAGGTCAAAGGCAACACCACAACACCATCTACCATGGTACCTATACCAGGAACCTCGTCTCCCATTCACCATGGCTCTCAGCACCTGGTCCAGGAGTATTCTTGGTGGTAGAATCCCTGGCGTCCAGAACAGAAGAAGATGCCATCTTGGGAAGTGGAGGGAGGGAGCCAGAGGAGGTGAAGATGCTAGGAAGTGGGAGCATGGCCAGGCTGACATCTTGGGGCATCACCACACTCTTTTCTCCATCTCTAAGACTTCAGTCCTGGGGTGGCACGTGGGCAGTGGGTTGGAGGTCTCCATCTGAGGAGGAGGTCTTGGGAAGCAACCACAGATGTAGGGGACCACGAGATGGAGAAAGGGTAAAACTAGGGCTCTTAACACAGCTGAGGGAAAAAAAAGTAAAAAAGAAAAAAGCATATACTGCCCTGTTTCTTTTCTTTTCTTTCTCTTTTCTTTTCTTTTTTTTTTTTCATTTACACTATGGAGAAACCACCATGGAGATGTTGTGGGAGAGCATGCACAGGCCCAGCCCTCAGGAGGTGCAGATGTGTTTGGGGAGGTTCTTGTTTCCTTCCAGGTCCATCCCACACACTGTCCAGTCAGACCCTGTTGCAGGCTGGTTGTGGCTTTCTCTCTCCTGCTTGTCCTCCAGGTCGAGGGTTTGCAGGACCTTCCGCCTAGCAGGTGGTGGCCAGGGACTGGTGGATGGGTGGTTGGAAGCAGCGCACATGTTCCACGGTGGAACTGTCCGTCTCCACGGACTTCATGTACTTGTTCAGGATGGCAAAAACCTCATTGTTCAAGATCTGGTACTTCCTGATCCTGTCTGCCATCTTCTTCAGGGGCTGTAGAAGGACAGGGACGTGCAGGTTAGGGATGGGAGGAGGGGACAGAGAAATCAAGAGAAACGGAAGAATTCAGTTGAGGGTGGGGTCCGGGGTCCTGATGCTTCAATGATCATGCCACTCTCTTGCTTAAAGGCCTTCTATGGGTGCCCAGAGCTTGACAGTGAAATGTGAACTTGACCATAAAACGCTTTGAGTTTCAAAACTTACCACAAAGCTGCAGTCATCAAAACAGTGTGGTTCTAGCATGAAGACAGACATATGGACCAATGGAACAGACAGCCCAGATATAAACCCTTTCATATATGGTCAAATGATTTCTGACAAGGGTGCCCATAACATTCAATGGAAAAAGAATTGTCTTCTCAACAGACGGTGCTGGGAAAACTGGATATCCACACGCAGAAGAAGCTGGATTCTTACTTTATACCATATACGAAACGTTAGCTCAAAATGGATTAAAGACCTAAACATGAGAGTGAAAACTATAAAACTCTTAGAAGAAAACAGAGGAAAAGCGTCATGACATTGAGTTTGGCAATGATTTCTTGGATATGACACCAAAGCACAGGTAATAAATTGGAATACATCAAAATTAAAAACTTATTTGCATGAAAGGACACTATCAACAGAGTGAAAAGGCGACCCAAAGAATGAAAGAAAACATTTTCAAATCATATATCTGATAAGGGATTAATATCCAGAATATAGAAAGAACACCTGCAATTAAATAACAGCAAAAAAAAAACCCCAAAAACAAACCAAGCCAAATAACCCAATTAAAAAGTGAGCAAAACACTTGAATAGACATTTCTCCAAAGAAGATAAATAGCCAATAAGCACATGAAAAGATGCTAATATCACTAAATGCTAAGGAAATGTGAATCAAAACCACAATGAGATACCACTTCACACACATTAAAATGGCTATTTCCAAAGATACACAGAAAATAACAAGTGCTGGGGAGGATATAGAGAAATTGGAACTCCTGTGCATTGCTGGTGGGAATATAAAATGGTGTGGTCACTATGGAAAACAGTATGGTGGTCCTCAAAAAATTAAAATCAGAATTACCACATGATCCAGCAATTCCAATTTTAGGTATATACCCAAAAGCAATGAAAGCAGGGTCTTGAACAGTTATTTGTACACTCATGATCACAGCAGCATGATTCACAACAGCCAAAATGCGGGAGCAACTCAAGTGTCCATCGACAGATGAATGGATAAACAAAATGCGGTGTATACATACAATGGAATATTATTCAGCCTTTAAAGGAAGGAAATACTGACACATGCTACAACATGGTGAGCCTTGAACACATTATGCTGAGTGAGAATTCCACTTATACAAAAAGTGGAAGGGTGGTTTCCAGAGGCTGGGGGGAGGGAGAATGGCGAGTTACTGTTTCCTAGGCACACAGTTTCAGCTGGGGAAGATGAAAAGTTCTGAAGATGGAGGTGGTGATGGTTGCATAACAAGGTGAGTGAATTTAATGCAGTAAACAGTTAAAGATAGCTAAAACAGCAAATTTTATGTTACGTATGTTCTACCTCAAAGCAAAAAAAAAACCTTTATGAGGTGGCTCCTGCCTCTTTTTCCTCTCAGCAGGTCCTGCAGACCCACCCTCTGTTCCAGCCATACATCTTCATGCCTCTGTGCCTTTGCTCTAGCTGTTCCCTCTGCCTAGAACATTCTCCCCATCCTGCACCCCATTTTCTGCCTGGCTATTTGCAGCTGGTCATTCTGGACTTTGCCCAAGCATCGCCTCTAGGGTGAGCCTTCTGAGGCCCCTGCCCAGCCCCTCAGCCTGGTTTAGACAGCCCTTCTTGACGCTCCCGCAGCAGCCTCGCCTACCCCACACACGACAGCGCTCATCCCATCCCCGTGGCTGCACAACTTTCGTGTTCAGTCAGAGTTTGTGCAGATGACGAAGCAGCATTAGCAGAGTCTGACTGGCACAGGGAAGGTGTGTTTCAGGTTTGGAGGCTGGCCCTGCCCTGCGGGGTGATGTGATTCATCCCAGTGGGTTACAAGCCAGTGACTCACGGCTTCTTACGAGAAGGTCACTATCTGCTGAATGTCTCTGTACCTACCTGCGGTGTGGGTAGCTGGCCTCCATAAGCAGCTCACCCTCCTCTGCCGATGAAAGGCCTGCTTGTCAGGCCTGGCCCCAACTCCCAGGACCCAGCCACGAGCTGCTTACCACATTCTTAATGATTTCATCCTTCCCGTCCTGCCTCTGTACTTTCAGCAGGTGGTAACAGAAGTCGAACAGGTCGAAGCGACGCTGCTGGCCCAGCAGGACGATGATGGAGCAGCCAGCCCAGTTCAGGCCATCTCCAAAACACTGCCTGGGAGTGGGAGAGGAAGCAGCTGGAGTGAGAAGCAGGAGGCCGAGGGGGAAGGGACCCTCATCTTGGACCAGCAGTACAGCTAGTGAGCTGGCTCATCTCTGGGCCAATTCTCTTAATCTGTAGAATGGGTACAAGGGAAGCTGTGAGTGTGGACTCATTTGTTCCTGGGACTGTGGTTATATTATAAGCCCTGCTAGCCATAAAGAGATGTCAGTCTGTCGCCCCACTAATGTAAGAAAAATCAGCTTTGAAGAAGATAAATTGGCAAGAAAAAAAATCCAACCAGCCTTTGAGATTTATGTAGCCAGTTAGAATTCTGATGAAGCTCTGTCTTGGCTCTGGAAAGGAACCAGAGGAACACCTGTGAGGGGAAGGGTGGTTTCAAACCAGGAGACCAGCTGGCCAGTGTAGGCGGAGAGGGCAGGGACTGGGGGTGGGGGAAGGACACGATGGGGCATGAACAGACGCTGCTGGTGTGGGGGGCTGCCAGTCCTCTTGGGTCTGGTGAAGATCAGCCTGCATGCCCCCAACTCTCAACAGCCACCTGGGCAATTTGGGAGGCTGTGGGGCATCTCTTGGCTGGATCGCTCACCCTTGAATGCAGCGCAGCCCACTGGGAAGGTTTCCCAGCTTCCCCACCGCTGTCGTGGAAAGTGCAGCTGCTCTGGAAACAGCCTTCCCATCCCACTCCCAGCACCACTCTCTCGGGGAGGCCTCTCTGGCCCCCGTGCGTGTTTCCTCCAGAGCTCCTGGCTCCTGGCCCTTGTCTGCCCTCTTCACCACTCTGCTCTTGCTGTGTAGTTGGGTGAGTGACAGGAGAATGGGGCTCTGCTTCTGTTTTCTCTGAGAACAGGACTGGGTTCCTCTCAAAGACACCTCTGCTTTTTAGGAGCAGAGGCCTCATGAGCAAGGTGGGGCCCACCTTCTGCCAGGGGAGCCTGTCTCTGTTCTACGACCCCTGGAGCTCTGCTGGGGTGGGCGGTGAGATCTTAATACCAAGCCCTTGCCAGAGCTCCCCCTCTGCCCCTTCCATTGGCCCAGCTTCTAGTCCCGTGAAGACAGGCCCTGAGAGGTCCAAGGCCCCGATGTGCACACACTCCACGTCTGTCTTCAACCCCTTGGAGCCTTCCCTGTGGGGTCCCCTTCTCCCCTCTAAGAGCTGAATCCTAAGCAGTGTTCCAGCTCAGCTGTCGTCTGTGAATTAAATTCCTATAATCCACTTGTCTCTCTTCATGGGCATCTGTTGTCCTTCCTGCCCTCGCTGCCAAGGGACCTCATTCGATGCACCTTATATCTATTTTCTAGTCTTCTCTTGGCCCTGTCAACCCCACACACCAGGAACTGTCTACTTTTGCTCTGCACAGATGCATGTCCAGCACCTAGAACCCTGAACAACTTAAAGCACGTGCTCAACAAACCGCTGGTGGACAACCCCACCCCTGCCCTCCTTTCTGATTGAGCTCTGGCTGCCCGATGGCTCTTCGGGTGGGGGATGAGCAGGTTGGGGGGCGACCCCGCCTTCCCTGGGGCTACTCACTCAGCTGTGAACTCGTTGGTCCCCACGGGGATGCAGTAGACGAACTGCATGGCACTCCACAGCCGGTGGAACTCCACGCACTCGTCGACGTGCATGACGCCGTTGGTGGGCGGGGGGCCCCGCCAGATGGGGTCCTGCAGGTAGCTCCGGATGCGGGTCAGGATGACCTCGAACATGGACAGGCCGCAGCACAGCCGCTCCTTGGTCAGGAGGTCGCCCTCCCGAGCGATGGCGATTTGCTGGGAACAGGAGAGTACATAAACCTGCCAGTCACACCTTAGACCCCATTTTCTACCTCTCACCCGATATTCCCAAACCCCAGAGCTGGCCGCATCTGTAATTCATTCACCAGAACTGAGGTCTTGCCCAGAGCAGGGCACTACCTTTATAAACCTGAGTTCAATAGCAGGGGGAAGTCTTGGGGTAAGTAAAATCGAGGAGCCATCGCTAGAGGAATAGTATAAGAAAATTTCAATCCACCTATGTAATGAAATGCTAGGTAGCCTTTGAAAAGACTGAGATGATGCTACTACTGTACTGCTACTACTACTAGCACACACTCACTGTGTGTGTAATACACCAGGCCCTGTTCTATGCATTCGTTAAGTACTTACCTTATTTACTCCTTACATAAACCCCATGAAGAAGATGCCATTATTATCCCTATTTTATTGAAGAAGAAACTGAGGTTCAGAGAGGCAGTCAGTGAGTGGAAAAGTTGGGATTTGAATCCTAGTAGTCTAGAGCTGTGGATTAAATCGTTAAGTGAATAGAGCAAGTTGCAGAAGAGGACATATACTACAATCCTATTAAAAGACATCAGTAACACAATCCCACAGACACACAAAACTGTACGCACGTATGTGTGTGGGGGGGTGAGTGTGTAAAACATTCTAGAAGGATTAACATCAGTTGTGGGAACAGATGGGCTTGGAGAAGCAGGTGGGGTTTTCACTTTTTACTATAAATACTTCTGTACAGTTGAATGTGCTACAATAAGCATATGTTACTCTTAAAAATTTGTCGCTGATTTTACAGATTATTCCTCCCGTTAGAAGTTCTCTGACCACTGTCAACAATCTTCCTTAATAATTTAAACTGGCTTCTCATATGGCATCTGGTCACTACATCTCTAATAATCAGCCGGCTAGGCTAGTAGTTCAAAACACATTACCGTCTGCAGGAGCAAAAAATATCTAGGGGTAGAGGTCTCAAAGCCACGTGCAAAGATAATAGATATTAACATCTAAGGTCAAAGTACAACCTCCAAACCTAGGGACAAAGCTTAAGAGGGCCGGCTTCAGAGACAGAGAGGTCCACAGGGCACTCCTGGGATCAGCTCCCCAGAGGGCGGGCCCGCCCGAGAGCTCAGTGTACAGTGTGGCTGGGTGGAGTCTGCCTGCCTGCTCCCTGCACGCTCCCCACACCCTACAGCCCCTAGAAAGAGGGCAGCCTCAATTAAATTAATCCATGAAGGGAAGTAAATCAGGAAACACCAATGCTGGAGCCCGTTAGGAACGTGGGTCAGGAGTGCAGCTGTCATGACAGCTATGAACTGAAAGAAGTCTAGGACGAAAAACGTGAATTGGGGAAGAGCTTACGACCTGTGTTTCGAACACAAGAGGGAACCCTGATTCACGGTGATTCATCTTGATTCTGGTGGCAGAGAAAGATCGCTCCAGCGCAGAGAAGCTGCCACAGTTAGCTAGAAATACTTCTTTTCAAAAACCCTGACCCCAGAGCTTGACTCTGTTCTCACCAGGCAACTCCCTGTGGTAGTATCTGGACCCTGACAGGGCTCTCCACTTTAGAAACAGAGTGCCTGGTACGGCGAAGATGCTCAGTAAATAAAGAACCCACGTTTGCTCTCGAGTCATGAATATTCTCCTTCAGAAATTAAAACAGAGAGTTCTGGCTTACTAGTTAATCTCCTGTGCATTTAGTTAGTCTGTATCAGTCCTCAGGGCCTGACAACTGTGGGACGATCTAAAGAATTAGCAACAGCGTTTATAAACCTGCAGACAGATTTTGAACTCTAATGACCCCCCCAACCAGAGCCAACCAAAGGGCCTTGACTGAAATGGTTAGGGGCTTTGTCCCTTTCCTGAAAAACTGTTTACCTTTATGGGTTTTCCTATGAGCTACAAGAGTAAAATCTGGAAAGAAAATTGTAGAAATGTTATAAGAAAATAAAAATCTCCCATAAATCCCATCACCCACAGATGAGCTTTCTTAAAATACTCATGTATGATTTATTTGTGTTTATGTACGTGAGCGTGTATATGTATCTATTTTAACACAATTTGGGTCACACTATCTACATTGTTTTTTTCTCTTAAGATATTGGTACTAAAAAAAAATTTCCTTTAGTATCTTCAGTAATATGGTTTTTTAATGGCTACATAAAATGGCCATTGACATACGTCATTTATTTAGTTCTCTATTCCTGTTGGTTATTTTAAATTGTTCACAAGTTTTCATCGTTATAGACAACTCGTAGGTAATTATTCTTATATATTACACTTTTTGAGCTTATCTCTGGTTATCTTCTTAGGATAAAATCCTAGAAGTAGAACTCTTCAGTCAAAGAGTATAAGTTTTAAAAGGCTTTTGCTACATAGTGACAAACTAGTCCCAAGAAAAGCTGAACCACTGTACACCTGTCTGTGTCAAGTCTGTTCCTTGTGCCTTTATCAGTACTTCATTATCATGAAGAAAAGTTCTTAGCCAACTTGCGAAATGAAGAGCTGTATCCTTCTCTTTCACATTTCATTGATTACTGGTAAAGCGGAACACTTTTTCTCCTGTTTCTTGGCATTTATATTTCTTAGGCTGTGAGTTTTCTTTCATACCCTTTTTTCTTTCTTTTTGCTTTTAATTAATTAATTATTTATTTTTGTCTGCATTGGGTCTTCGTTGCTGCACGCAGGCTTTCTCTAGATGCGGTGAGTGGGGGCTACTCTTCATTGCGGTGCGTGGGCTTCTCATTGTGGTGGCTTCTCTTGTTGCAGAGCACGGGCTCTAGGCACTCAGGCTTCAGTAGCTGTGGCACGTGGACTCAGTAGTTGTGGCTCGCGGGCTCTACAGCGCCGGGTCAGTAGTTGCAGCACGCGGGCTTAGTTGCTCCATGGCATATGGGATCTTCCTGGACTAGGGCTCAAATCCGTTGTCCCCTGCACTGGCAGGCGTATTCTTCACCGCGCCACCAGGGAAGCCCTCTTTTTTCTTTTGATGTGAGTGTCCTTCTAATCTGAAAAAGTGCACTAAAGATTGTTTGTCGCATATACCCTCTATCTGTGACTTGGTGTTTCATGTATATGTACACTATGTGTGTATGTGTGTGTTTAACACAAATTTTAGCCATTTCTGTTCCACTCAGTGGGGAATTTTTTTCTCTTTCTGCCATTCTTTTCTGAGTTAACAAGGGTATAGAAAAAGCATCTGTGAAATCATGTGGAAACATATTTCTGCATGGAGTACTTTGATTACATTTAGGATACTTTGGAGAAAAATATCTCCATGCTCGCTCTTTCCTTTCTGTTTTTTTAGAAGCTTTTTATTTATTTGTTTATCATAGTAATTGTGAAAGGCAGCTCAGCTAAAAAGACAAAACACCTATTCGCCCATTTTATAGATGGGAAAACAAAGACCAAGATATTAAATGTCTAGCACTAGATTATGCAACAATTCAGGGGTAAAGCTGGAAAGAGGAGTCCTTCAACTCCCTGACAGAACATTCTATTCATGATAGCACTGGGCAACAAACCAGGTCACCTCAATTTTTCCTAGAAACAAATACAAGCAATGCAATACAGTTAAACTCTCCCAACATTAAACATGTAGCAGAATTTCCCTGTCCCTGACCTATAAGTTATGTGAGTTCCCTGAACCCCAGCAAGCTTGGACGTTAATATTTTAAAAATGTTTCTTTGGTCTACAGGAGGACTAAGTTTTGGACTATTCCTTAAGGGCTGGGAGACTTATAAAACTGGCATTTCCTCTCCGACAGAATGTCTAGGCTTTTGTTTGTTAAATATCAGCATTTGACAAATTGAGATTTCTATCAGTCCCAAGGAAATAGTGTTCATCAGAACAGGGAAGGAATTCACAGACCTCTAAGTGGAAACACATGCCGAGGCCTGGGTGTGAGAGGCCAGATTCTTGTAGGATGACACTAACAGTGGAGCAGACACATTTATATGTCGCTGGCTTGGGGGATTTCTCCCTAGAAGGCAGTCTTTAGAGGATCTCCTGTGTTCAGCCCCGGAAGGCCAAAAAAGAAAATGTGCATATTTCACAGTATCTACATTCTCTCTGTGGTGACTAAAGAACCCAAATGTCACTAAATATTTAGTCACTGTTTTCAGTAGGAGGTGGGTGGCCTGCAGGGGGTCTGGCTGGGGCTGCTCATCAGTGTGACACCTGGGCAGATGGGGCTCCAACACTTGCAATGTTTTTCGAGAGAAGAGGCCGCCTTCCGCCCTCTGCGGAGGATGAGAATTTTTCTGATTCATGAGCTTTTGTGATGATAGGAGAGAGGACCTTAGGGATGCTAGTCCAAGAGCGGATCTGAATCCTAAACCTTTTAAACAGTCGGTTTTGGGTTTTGTCGAACAGAACAAGCCATACTGGCTTGTCTCGCTGCAATGCCCTGTTTTCTCTTCTCCCTGAATTCCTACCCTGATCCGTGCCCTGCCCCACCACCAAATGCTTGATTCAACTTGAATCAACTTGAAAGGAGACAGCACATGCTGTTTGTTTCATCCCTTTCCCCCTCCAAAGTGTCTTCTTTCCTGACTGCCTGCACAGTTTGTGAGTTCTCCAAAGGCAGGGGTCCTGTTTTACTCATCTCCATGTTCAGGTTTGTAAAAATGAGTGTTAATTACAGATTTAACACCTGAGCTCATTCACCTTCAAAAATATTAGAACATTACAGATAAAGCTGCCTTCTTTGATCTCCCCACCCATCTCTGTCCCTTTCATCTTTCTTCAGAGGTTGCCATCATTATGAACTGGGTGTTTTTCATTTCCTAGGAAAAGTTTTACTTAATATGGTTCTTTGATATGTGTTTAAAAAAATACAAATAGCATAATACTCCATGACCTGTAGTGCAACTTGCTTTATTCACCTAACCATGTGTTTATGGTCTGTCCACACTGATGCATCTGGATCTGACTTTTTTCTTTTCATTATTACGTAGCAGGTATTCATCATTTGAATGATTTTACCACATTTTATTTAGTCAACACTCTCCTGATTGACATTTAGGTTGTTTCCAGTTTTTTGCTTTAACAAACAATGCTGTGGTAAACATCTTGTGTTCACAGGTAAGAGTTTTTTTTAGCAAAGATACCCAGAGATGAACTGCCGGTTCACAGGGCGTGTGGTTCTAATTCTGAGAGATAACTCAGCAGAATTCTTAATACCTAACGGGGAGTGACAGATACTTGTCTGACTTCCTTCTTTCTTGGCAGGATAGATGATACAGGGTGCAGGCCTGAGAGTCAGCAAAACTCATTCGAGACCTGCCCTTGCCACTAACAGGCTGTGTGCTGTTAGACTTTCTGTTTCTCTCTCTGGGCCTCAGTTTCCCCATCTGTAAAATGAGGAGGTTGAACCAAATGCTCTCTCTCCCTGTAAAGTTCCTTTTGGTTCTCCGAGTCCGTGATAGGAGGATCGTACCTGAGGGGTCCCCAGCCGCTCTATCAGAGGGACCAGGTGAAGTGGTGCGTACTTGGCTTCCAGGCGTTTCATCCGGACCTCCAAACGCTCCCCCTCTGCAAAAGGAACAGCAGGCAGAAAATGAGATTCAGGGCACACCGGGGGAAATGGGGAAGGAAGAGCTCTCAGAGGACCTGGTGACGTATTTGTCTTCCAACACTTGGATGGAGCGTGTAGAACTGTTTCCCTGGTTCTGGCAAGTGTGATCAGGACTCATTACAAGGAAAATGTTCTATTATCTGTGCCCAACAGTGGAATCATCTACCTCATGGGGTGGTGAGTTCCCCATCACTTGAAGGATTTAGACCAACCAAGCTAGAGAGCAACTTACTAGGGATGTTCTAGAAGGACCAAGGCCTGGAGCATTATTTCCAATTCTGTGACTACCCAATAGCTGTCCAAAGCTCTCACCTCCATTTCTGACCGCACATCTGAGTTTATTGGGATTAAGTGAGCATGAGGTGCAAATTCAGACTGGCCATTTAGCTGCTGTCAGTGGTTTCTTACCTTTGATGTAGACTCTAGGCAAGATGTTTTGGAAGGGTGCAGCATGGAGCAAATCACAGACTTCCTCCTGAGACTGAAAATAGAGGAGGGAAAGAAAGAGAAAACCATTTTTATTTTAAACCAGGAAGAATTTTCATTACTAAAAGCTTGAACACTGGAGTCAGCCAGACCTGGGTTCAAATCCTAACACTTCTACTTAACTAGCTGTGGGATCTTAAGCACTTTGCTTAACCTCTTTGAGCCTATTCATTTATCTGAAAAATGAGGATGAGAACAGTACCTATTTTAATGGGTTACTGTGAGGATGAAGTGAGAGAACGTACAGCCTCATAGCACAGACCCTGCACATAATGAGTGTGCAGTACATTTTCATTACAATCTTATAAGGAATTTGTTGAAAGAATTCAAAGTGGCAGTGGGATCAAATAGAGATGATGGACCCAGACTATGTTTGTCTGGTTGGCTGTGAGGCCTATGGGCTCAAAGCAGGTAGCTAGACCAACCCTCCAATCCAGTAATGCAGGATGCCTCTGTGTGAAGGCCTGGGTCTGGTTGCTTTTCTCCACCCCAGATTCCAACTGGTGAGGGAAGAGGGACTAGGACCGAGCCAGGTTTTGATGGGGACTCTTTATGCATAAAAGTAAAAGCTAAAAGCAAACGTGTACTACAAAGGTTGGAGGAGAAAGGTTGGGGGAGGGCAGGCCTGGAAGATATGGTCAAATGGGCTTACTGTCCCGGGACCAGCTCATGATCACTGGATTTCAGTGATGGGGAAAGGGACCTACACGAGCCACCCTCCATGGGTCTTGGTTTCTCTTCTTTACACTGTGTGGGGATCTGGATTAGGTAAGATCCAGCCTTCATTCAACTCTGATACTCTTGGATTCTAAAGAATCTTGAGAAAATCAGGATTGTGAGGGCCCTTGGCTTTCTTAACCAGGCATGGGTAGAACATGGCCATCCTGGAAATCTAGCAGGCCAGCTGCTCAAGAAAGAAACCCCTAAACTCCCTCAGTCTTTGAAGTGAGGATGACAGAAGGAGGACAACTGAACTCTCCAGAGAGACCTGCTTGATCTGACTGTCATTCTCAGTTTCTTAGCCAGAGGGGAAATTTCCTCACTTTCTTAATTAATCTGTTCCTCCCCAAACCAGTAAAGTAAGTAATTTGGTCTTTACTGCTATGTCTAAGCTTAGATCCTTTGATTCATCATATAATCTGAAAACTTGCCTATTGATTATTCAGGCTACTCTTCATTCATTAATATGGTGAATTATATGGATTGATTTTTTAAACATTTTTTAAATTTATTTTTGGCTGCGTTGGGTCTTCATTGCTGCACGTGAGCTTTCTCTAGTTGCAGTGAGCGGGGGCTACTCTTCATTGCGGTGTGCAGGATTCTCATTGCTGTGGCTTCTCTTGCTGTGCAGCACAGTCTCTAGGCACGTGGACTTCAGTAGTTGTGGTGCGCTGGCTCAGTAGTTGTGGCACACAGGCTTAGTTGCTCCATGGCATGTGGGATTTCCCCGGACCAGGGCTCGAACCTGTGTCCCCTGCATTGGCAGGTGGATTCTTAATCACTGCGCCACCAGGGAAGTCCCTATGTGGATTGATTTTTGAATGATGAACCAGCCTTGCATTCTTGGGGTAAACTTCACTTGGTTGTGATGCATTATCCTTCTTATATATTGGTGGATTTTATTTGCTAATATTTTGTTGGGGATTTTTACTCTATAACCATTAGAGACACTGATTTGGAGTTTTCAAGTGTCGTCGGTGTTGGTATTAGGGTAATGCCGACCTCATAAGTTGGAAAAAGTTCTATTTTTTCTATTTTCTGGAATTGTTATTATTTCCTCCTTAAATTTTTGGTAGAATTCACAAGTGAAACCAGCCGTATCTGGAGTTTTCTTTGTTGGAAGTCTTTTTTTTTTTTTTTTTTTTTAACTAGGTATACAATTTCTTTAGCACATATAGTACTGTTCAGGTTATCGATTTTTTTTTTAAGTGAGTTTTGGGGTTTTCTGTGACTCAAAGTCTTGATTCCTTCCATCTAAGTTTAATTTATGGGCTTAGGGTGGCTTGTAGTATGCCTTTATTATCCTTGTGATGTCTGTGAGATCTATAGTGATATCCGTATTTCATACCTGATACTGGTAATTTGTGTCTTCTCTTTTTTTTTCTTGGTCTGGCTAGAGGTTTATGAATTTTATCGATTTTTTTTCCCCAAAGAATCAGCTTTTAGTTTCATTTATATTTCCCTATAGTGTTTCTGCTTTCAGTGTTGCTGATTTCTGTTCTTATCTTTATTATGTCCATTCTTCTGATTGCTTTGGGTTTAATTTGCTTTTCTTTCTCCAGTTTCTTATGGTGGAAGCCTAGACTACTGACTGAACACCTTACTCTTTACTAATATACTGTAACATTTAGGCTATTCTTTGATACCTCTAGTAATCAAGAGCTCAGTACTTCTGGAGGCAGCCCAACCCATTTTTGAACAATTCTAATGGTTAGAAAGTTTTAAACCAAGGCAGCCTCCCAGTAGTTTCCATTCGAGATCCTTGTTCTGCTCTTTAGAGTATTACTGAATGTGTTTTTCTAGCCAGATTCTTCAGCTACCCTTCCACCTTTCTCCTCCTTTCAGGGCCGAGCACCTTACAAGAGCTTTCTACCTGTCTCTCCATTTCCCAGTCTTCACTTGCCTTCACAGCAAACAAAAATATCATGCCCAGCTACAACACGCCATGGCAATGGCTCTGGCAAAGATTACTGAAGGCTGCTCTGTCACCAAGTTCAATGGATACCTTTCAGTCCTCGTGCTATGGCATCTCTAATGTATTAGGCACTGTCTTCCCTCAGTTACTATGACAATGAGGTCTGTGGTTTCCACTATTTTGATTTCTCCTTTTTAGATTCTTTTGCAGGTTTGGCTTCGAACCACCCTTTAAATGTTGGTTTTCTCCAAGGTCCCTCTTTCTTTTTTTCTCCTCACTTCATTTTACCTACTTTGTCTCACCTACTCCCATGTCTACAAGCACTGCCTTTGACTCAGCAGCTCTGTATTTCCAGCCAGGCCTCTCTTTCGAGCTCCAGACTTGGATATCTGCCTCCTTACTGGATATTTCCACTGGATACTCCACAGCTCCACATTTCTAGAGCTGACCTTCTTCTCCCCTTCTTATCTGAGGTTCCTTTGCTCCCAGAATGGCACAATAATCTCCTCACCTGCCCAAGTCTAAAACCCGGGGTTCATGTTTCATGTCTCTTCCTCACGTCCCATGACCAGTAAGTCCTCATGTCTTGGATTCTCTCCACATTTCTCCACATTGACCACAACACTATGAGCTCCTTAAGGGTAGGGATACCACCTCTATTTTTACCTTTTATCCCCAGTGCCTAGGACATGATAGTCTCTCAATAATTATTAATGAATGAATATTTGTTATCTCATGTTTCTTAGATGAATAAATGAATTTTTTTATCCACATGACTATCCTCCATATATGAGAATACTCTTACATCCATTCATCCAACAAACATTCATTGAGTACCAGGCATTGTTCTAGGCTTTGCAGATATGATGTTGAACGAGATCTCTGTACTCACGTAAATTACATTGTAGTTGAGAGAGATAAAAACAAGTAAACACACCAGAAAATTTCAGATAGCAGTAAGACACAATAGGGTACCAGGCTAGAGAGTGACTGGGAGTGGGGAAGGGACTACTTCAGAGAGGGTGGTTAGGGGAAACCTTTTTGAGGGGGTACATATTTAAGTAGAGAACGGAATAAAGAAGGAGCCGGCCATGTAGATTTGAGGTAAGTGCAATGGTGCTGAGGCAGAGAGTAAGCTGGAGTACAGTGACGCAGGTAGTCATAGTACAGTCTTAGTTCCTAACAGAAGGGAGGGACCAGATCATGCGAGGTCTCACAGTATGGTATGAAGTCTGAAATTTAAGTGCAGTGAGGAATTACACAAGTGTTCCAAGAAGAGGATTGGTACACATAGCCCTACTGCCAAGTTTTCTTATCTTTCTTGTTTACTTTTCTTCCAAAATTTTCAGTTGCTCCTAGAAATGTCTTCTTGCTAGGAAAGTTGCCCCCTTGCATGAATATCAACTTTCTATTTTGTTAATGTGAATAAAGCTGACCTTAGAAGCCACCTTAGGGGATGGAGAAAGGGGAAGAAGGTTCTGGGCCCCCTACAACAAGACCAACGTTGTTGCTTTATTCATTTTACATGATGAGCTTACACTTCAGATTTCCTTGGGGGAGACAGGAGTGTTCCATTTAGCCCCCCTCTGCACCCTGCGCCTCCCACTCGAGTTTGCAACCTGCAGGACCAGAGGTTCTTTGGGGGTGCATCCTGTTGGCATGCTTCCTGTGTATTCTCTACCTTGTAATGCCATTGGTTACTGAAGGTGAAGAAAGAGAAGGATGTGGTTTCCTCGTAGAGGTGGGAAAGCATTTGCCTGGAAGGTCCCCAAGGATGAGCTCTGTGGCCATTTGCACGATGAGGTGGCTACATACCCTGCAACACCTTTTGTGGAAGGTGTTTGTTTGGCATGTATGAGCTGAGGCCACTGCGACTGATAAAAATGTCCAGTTCAGAGCACACAAAAGCCTGTGTCAGGGATCTGAACAGACTTCTCTGTGGGTACTTTGGCTAATGCACACCACCTTCTCATCCAACCTCTATCCTAAAGGACGGCATCTGGCCTTCCACTCTGCTAGGAACCCAGCTGGCCCCTAGCCTGTGAAGGCCACCTAGAGTGGGTTTCTTCCCCACTCCCTGCCAGCTCTTTCTGCTCCAGCCACGACAGCTTTCTTTACTTGAATTCACCGTCTGCATATTCATCACTGAATTTCTGCCTTCTCTCTGAATGCTCCCTAACCTATCTCTCCCACCCCCCTCCTTTGCTTAGTAAATTCCCACTTTTTTTTTTTTATTAATTAATTTATTTTTGGCTGCATTGGGTCTTCGTTGCTGCACGCGGGCTTTTCTCTAGTTGCGGAGAGCGGGGGCTACTCTTTATTGTGGTGTGCGGTCTTCTCATTGCAGTGGCTTCTCTTGT